AGACAACGGTTACCGCTCCCCCCCCGCTCCTTCTCACCGGTACTCGAACTCCTCGTCGTCATACTTGTCGGAGTAGTAGATCTGCTTGTGCGCCATGCCGCCCGCGGTCCGCCCCTTTCCCGGCAGCCCCCGCCGCGCCCCTCTCCTCAGCTCCCGGCGGCCGTTGGTTTTCCCCCCCGCCCCCCTCCCCCCAACGGTGCTTTCAAACGCCGCCGCCCCGCGCGCTCATTGGTCCGCTCCGCGAAGGCGGGACGAGCGATTCGGAAGCTGATTGGTCGACTGTCGAGCGGGTACGCCCCTTCCGCTCAGGGTCGGGCGCCGCCTTCCGGTGGCCCGCCGGTTCGCGCGTCACGTGACGGGGGCGCGGTGAGGCCGCGGTGGAGGGGCGTGGGCCGGAAGTGAGTGGCGGCGTGGCGGGGGGAGGGCGCTCGGTGCGGGGCGCTGCGGCCGCCGGGACCGGAGGAGACCGGCGCGTAGACCCATGGTGCCCCGGTGAGCGTGCGGGTCGTCCCAGGACGGGTTGGGCCTCGTGCGGTGCTGCGGTGCGGCCTGCACGGCCTGCGGGAGCGGCCCGGGCCTTGAGGGGCTGCCGGTGGTTCCGTAGGCCCCGGGCTCGGCGGGGCGGGCCGGGCTTTGAGGTGCTGCGGAGCTTCCGGGGCTGCTGGGCTGAACCCGCCCCGCTCGTTGCCACGCACGGTTGGGTGACGGGAGTCACCGAACGGGGAAACGGCGGCGTCGGGCTGCCCGTTCCCGGTGTTACCGGGGCAGAGCGGGGCTGGACGCTGCCGGTGGTTTTTGGGGAATCGCTGATCGTTTCTGTGCTGCTCGGGGGGTCCCGGAGCTCCCGATGCCATCGTGGGGGTGTGTGTGAGGTCTGTCTGTCGGTTTGTCACCGCTGCCGGTTCCCGGGGCTGGCAGCAACCGGGGAGCTCAGAATGGTGACGGACCGACCCCGATTGGAGCAGAGCACCGGCTGTGCTCGTGTGCAACCTCCCCTGAAGGGACACAAAGGGACAGGTAACCACGACAGAGCTGGCTGAGGTGGAAGCGCCCCATTCCAAGACCTTTGTCCTCACCCAGCAGCATTGCTGTGTCCGTGTGTCCGTCCGTCCTGGGCTGTTCCCAGATCTCCAGGTCACTGGGTGTCCCTCACGGGCTGAGGAAACGTGGCCCCACTCCTTCCTGTGGGATTAAAGCTGTGCAAAGGGCAGATTTCTCAGTGCTTTGCCCGCTCTGGAGCTCTGCACGGTTCAGATCAGGCAGTGCCACCACAAAGATCGAGAAACAAGCAGCTCTACAACCACACCACGGCCTTATTGGAGGATGGGGAGAGCCCAAAGCAGCACCCTTGGGCCTCAGGGGTGCTGAGGAGGCCGTGCTGAGGTCAGGTTGTGGCCCTGCTGGCGCTGCAGCCTCACCATGAGGCCCTGTGCTGCCCTGTGCCTCTCCAGCCTGGCTGTTTTATGGCCGTGCACCATCGCCGTTCAAACCCAGCCCCTTCTCCTCCTGCTGGCTTCTGGCACGGGGTTGTTCTCCTTTCCCTGCCTCTAACCTCGGCCCCAGAGTCCAAAGGGCCTCGTCATTTCTGCACTTCCTCTGCAGTGAGTGACCTGCAACTGTTGGCTGCCTGGCCCTGCCCAGGACGGGGCTGCGCCTGCCAAACGGCCCCTCTTATCTCACTGCCCCCCGGGCTAATCCCATTAGCGCCCGCCTGGGCTCCGGTGCTGGCTTTGCAGGCCCCAGATAAGAACATATGATTGCTGCAAGGAAGTAAATCGTGTTTGTTGTCCTGTTCTGCTTGGCTGACCCGGCCCCGAATGGCTCCGTGGTGAGGGTGGGAGCGGCGCAGGGCTGGCTGGGGAGGGCAGGGGCTCTCATTGTGCTCCTGCTTTGCTCGCTGTGTTTTCCTTTCACTGCTGCCCTTCTTCCAGAGCTTCCTGCCACTCCTGGCTCTGTTCACGTCTGCCCTTCCGTGGCCCCTTTCCACCGTTCCTTCCTAACACCAGGATCCGTTTCACACGCTCTTGTGGCCGCATCCTGGCTCCTCCCTGGGGACTTTGTGTGTCCTTTTGCAGAAGGTGCCAGCCTGAGGGGTGGTGTGGGCAGGAGCAGGGCACTCCTCCATGTCTGAGCACCTCTTCTCCCTCTACTTTTGTGCCCTCTATTTTTGGGTCCTGACAGCTACGGGGCAGAGATCGACACCAGAGCTTATTTCAGGTCACAGAGTGACTGTAAACAAGGTCCTTTTGCTTCAGGGCACTGCCAACAGGTGGCTGCCAACACCATTTGCCTGCAGGCAAGATCTGAGCAGAGCCAACCCTGTCCCCATCTTGTCCCCATGCTCCTAGAGCCTCCCAGCACCATCCTTCCCATGACAGGGCCATCGAGGAGGAAGTTTCCCCGGGTCTCTCTGCCCCCATCTGCCTGCGGTCAGTGAGAAGCAGGGTTCTCACTGCAGTGAGAAGCAGCTCTGCCTGCAGCAGGGCTGGCTAACTCACTGTTTGTCCCTGAACCGCAGGTCGGGCTGCCAGACCAGAGGGGCTGAATGTTTGTTCCCTGCCCTCCGCCGGCGATGGAGTACGTGGTAAGGCTGGCCAGCGCTCGGGACTTCGGTGGAAGGGCTAGGTGGCTTTGGTGGCGGATCCTGCCTCCCCTCCCCCTTCACCACCAGGGCCCAGCCTCAATTCCAGGCCTCCTCCACTGTTTTTTTCCCCTGCCCCTATTCCAAGGAGGCTGCTGGGAAGTTCAGAGAGGTTGCACACAAACGCCGTGTGACGTTGTTGTGGCGTTTAGGGGAAAATCCAGCTCTTGGCTGGCTCTTGGCCTTTCTCTTTGCTCTCCCTGCCGTGCTGCAGGAGGACAGGGCACGGGAAGGGCTCCATCTGCCCATGTTGGGATGCGAGGGTCTCCTGCCCTCTGCATGCTGACAAGCTGTGTACGTGTGGCAGCCCCTGCGCCTGTGCCTGTGTGCGCCTCGCCGTGATTTCTTGCCAAACCACTCGTGTGTTCCAGCTCTCTGACTCAGCTCCTGCTTTGTGTTTCCTGGGAGGATGTCAGGGCTGCTAGCAGAGCCCGGGGAAATGCAGGATCCTCCAGAGCAAGGCGGTGGGCACAGCTTTCAGTTTGCTGTGCTGCATCCCCTTTCTGCTCCTCATCCCCTGGGCTGTGCACAGAGGTCACCCAGAAGCACGCAGTGTCCCTCTGTCCTGAACATAAGCAGGATCTGGTTGAGCCTTGGCTTCCAGTCGTGAGGAGCTGCTCTGCTGCAGGGCTGGGAGCGTGTTGCCAGCCGGTCTGGCGAGAGGAAGGGCTGCTGGGTGCTGCTCAGGGGCTGCAGGACCCGATTCCGTGGGGCTGTGCACGTCTCGGTTTGCCTTCGGTGCTCTGTGGCCCCTGGGTAGGGGGCTGTGATTCCTGGGGTGGGTTTTGAGGCTGTGGCAGTTGGGTCTGGGATTGGTGAGCTGCCTCCTTCCCAGCCGACGCTGGTGGGGATGTGAGTGTGCTGTCTGGCCTCAGCCTCGATGCCGGAGGTTCTGATAAAATCAGGAGTTATTCTGTTTTGTAGAAACAGAGCTCTGTGAGAAGCAGGCACAGCTTGGGGCACTGTGTGTGCCGGGAATTGCTGCTCCCTGCCCTGCTGCCTGTCTGGGCTGGGTCAAAAAGACCCTTTGCCCCTTTTTCAGCTCCCCCCAGCTCTTCTCAGGCAGAAAACAGCCCCTGTTTGCAGATGCCTACAGCCTTTATGCAGTGGGTACTGTGCCAGGTGGGACCCCCAGCCCCACATCTGCAAGCCAGTCAGGTCCTTGGGGGCAAACATCACTGCCTTGAGCCTCCCTAACGCCGCCCAGCAGAGCAGGGTTGGCGGGTCCCTGCTTCCTGGCTCCCCGGCCCCAGGCTTCCTGCCTTTCTTCAGAGCCATCTTGCTACAGGCCATGGGAAGGTCATGGCACTGAGCGGCCGCGGGGCCCCCGGGGGGGACGGAGCGCTTCGTGGGACGGCTCCTGCAGCACCGAGGTGGGGGCTGATGGGCTGTGGGATCCGCTGGCATCGGAGCCCCACACCGTGTGGGATCCCAGCTATTCCAGGCTATTCCCTGCCTTTATTTCCCTGTCTCTGGGGCTGCGTGCCAACGTTTGGGAAGCAGGACGGGAGGTTCCACTCCTGTGCTGGGGCTGAGCGGGGTGAGCTCTTCCCTTGGGCTGGGTTTCTCTGGTTTCAGCTCGGTGTAGGGTTCTGTGGGAGCGCCCTGGCCCACATAGCAGGCACCTGGTGTGGGTCAGAGGGGCCCGGAGACCCACACAGAATCATGAAACAGCTTGGGTTGGAAGGGGTCTTAAAGACCGTCTTACTCCAACCCCAAGGGGCTGGAGGGGGATTTCTGAGCTCCCCCATTGGCATGCTGGTTTGCGTCAGGTGGGGAGGAAGGGGGAGAGGGCAGACTTGCCCCAGTGCCCACCACCAGAAAACGGGGCTTTTGCCCAGCTGTGGAAACGGGTAAGATTTGCCCTGGCGCCAGCGGCACGCTCTGGCTTTTCCCCAGCTCCCGCTAGCTCCGCCTGTGACCTTGATTTTTCTGCTCCAGATCCTCGCTGGGTCCCCACCCCTCCCTCCGAGCCCCTCCTGCGCTGCCTCCCCATCCCCGCAGAGCAGAACAGAGCCGGCTCCTCCGCCTGTGAGTCAGCACAGCCCTTCCGATCAGCGGCAGCCCCTTCTCTCCTCCGGGAGGAGCCGGGATGCGGGAAGCAGCAGCAGCCATTGGCGGCTCCCAGCGGCTCCGTGCCGCAGCCCCGCGCTGAGCCCGGCTTCTGCCTCGCTGCGCCCACCTGTATCCTCCTCCTGGCTGTCTTCCTCCTCCTCTGCCAGCCTGGAGCTGAGCTGGACGTCCCTGCATCCCGAGGCTTGCTGGCATCGCGTTCCCCCCGGTTTCAGGCGTCGCTCCCCCCGGTGATCCCGGAGAGCCAACAGCAGCTGCCCGCCGCCGGCACGTGGCTCGCGTAGCGCCGGCCGCCACAGAAGGACCTTGTTTGCTCCTGGACCGTGCTCTGAGCAGGGCTGGGCTGGGCTCGGATGTGCTCTGTGGCTGCCTTGTCTCAGGGCTTTAAATATTCATGCTTTTGATTTCCTCTGAGCTGCTGGCAACCGCTTGCGAGCACAGGGGCCAGAGCGAGCCGGCAGGGGCGGAGGGGCAGC